TTATATCGATTAATAAGTCCGTACAATAATTACATCATCATTGTCGGAACAGCCAAGTTCAGATTTTTCCCCCAAATCCTCTGCATCCGTCAATGCCTACCCACAGAAAATCAAAAACGGGATTCAGAAGAAGTGTCACAAACAACGAACACTCCAGGCAGCTTCTTTTTAATACTAACCTAACTTTTATCTTCTAATTATTTCACCTGTCCAAAAAAAAAAGAAGACAGCTTGCTTTTTGTGGTTATCCCAAGTGGTGTCAATTTCTTGAGTATCTGCTGATTCAGAGTTGCTGTAGTGATGACCTCCATGGTGGTCTATTAAGCATATTTATGTTGTAATTGGTCTGCAGCCACTGCCCGTTAGACATTTTGGTTGTCTAGCATTATCAAGTAGTGGTAAATCAAAATCCTGGGTAAAGAAAAAGTAACCTCTGTTGGTGAACTGAGTTAGGAGACATATAGATATGGTCACCCTTTTATGCATAAGGTTCAACAAATTGAGTGGTAAAAGAAAAGTTTGTACTTTGTAGATTCCAGCGCTATTTTAATTTGTTTATAATTACTCACTGTTTCTAACGACTAAATAGAGGTGTTCATAAGATGAGTATTCCTTGGGACTTGAGTTTAACCATGATATCAGTTTGTTATTGTTGAATGAGATTCTTCCTTTGCTTTTTTTTCAAAATTATAGTTCTATGCCCCACTATATATGAGGAAGGATCTGCCTTTGTTTTGCTTATATATGACAAATGACTTCAATGGAGAAGTGGTATGGTTGAAACATAATCTAATCTTGAGTCACATTGGATTAGAGGTAGGTTTTAGGATATCTTCTGTGTGTTAATTAGGAAATGCTGCTCTTCATAGCATCTTATTAGTACCATAGACATTACCCAATGTTCTAAAATGCGTTAAGTCAAAAGATCTGCTTTTGTACCAGAATGAGACTGCAGGTGACCCCTAACTCCCACTCTATCTTTTACCATGCACTGGTTTGAGCAATATATCTTCCTATTTTTGTGATGCACAAGCATGACAATTACATCCGATCAAGGCTCTAGATTATCAGGCAGGTTCTTATTCTACAAAGTTAAATTGCAGTTAAGGGGAAGCGAGTTGCTATTGTGGGACTGGGACACATTGGCTCAGAAGTTGCAAGAAGGTTGGCGGCCTTTTGGATGCAAAATTGCCTGCAATTCAATGGGGGAGAAACCATCTGTTCCATTTCCTTTCTATGCCAATGTCCGTGACCTTTAAGCAAACAGTGATGGGTTTGTTTGTTGTTGTGCATTTACAGAAGAAACCAGTCATATATTCATCATGATAATTTTAAAGAATAAAAAGAAAAGTTGATTCATCTCTTCAACTCATTTATTACATCTCGGTAAAGGCATATGTACATATATATATATATATACACACACACACAAAAACAAGGAACCGGCTTTTGTGTGAAACCATTTGGAGAAATTGTGGCTTGTACTAGCTGCATTAATGAAGTTGTAGACAATTGTGCACTGCAACAGAGATGGCGTATTGAGGCAGTAGACAATTGAGTGAAGACTTGTTCTTGCAAGGAGTTACAGTATGCATTTTTCTAGCGAATTTATTAGCATGTCTGCATATATCAATATTATAGTACATCAATTAGGATGTCATGGTGGCATCAAGAAAGGAAGAGGTGATTGTTAATGTTGGACGTGGAGCTCTCATCGATGATTGATGAGAGGAATGGTATATATAGTTCTTGGTGAGAGGAGACCTAGGCAGTGCGGGTCTTGATGTGTTACGTTTGAGAACAAGCCTGATGCGCCAAAAGAACCATTTGCCATGGACAATGTTGTGCTGTCTCCACATATGGGGTCTTCACCCCAGAAAATATCTTTTTGAGTTATTGCTGGTGCTGTAGACCTTTGTTGTCAGTTGTGTAGCATAAACTCAAATGTAGGATGTTGAAGTTTAAACCCATAGAGTTAGAGGTAGCAATGGAGGAATCAAAACGAAAAACTTTTTGATGTCAGAGTTGGAGGATCCTTATATCCTGTTATGAAATGGGATTCCAAGAGCTGGGAAGGATGAATTTTAAACAGTTCCCTTGAATAAATTGTCTCTGGTAAATAGCATCATTTAGTGTCATAGATATTGATCACCAAGTATTCAAAATGTTTTGATGTTTTGTTCTCGTAAAGGCTCAGATGCAGCAAGCAATATCACATAGACTGACCATTGAATCTAGTGAAAACAGATCATCTAATCTAAGCCGTAAAGAGGGAAATCACTAGGAATTAGAACCATGCATCTGCTTCCCAGAAAATCAAACCGAAGTCAATTCTCTTGGTGAGGATTACTTGTTTAAGGGATACTAATCAGTGTGCCAAGGGCAAAGGCTACAAGTAATGGACATTGATTGATTACAAGATTCGTGGGATTAGACATCAGAGTATAAATGTAACTGCCTTATGGTCACAAACTTCACTAATATAAATCCGTAATTGCAACAGGGCAAAAGTAAGGTTCTATTTAACAGGTTTGATGACAATGGATACAGAATTAATACAAGGTACTGTTTGGTAACGACCATAGAATTGCAGACGAAGAAATTCATTTTATTCCATAATGCAGCCAAACACATACAGTGAGGTAACAACCAGAACTTCAATCTCAACTTTACCATATATCAGAAGTGTCTTGTAACCACTGAAAGAAATAACAAGATGAAATTCTATATGTAACATTCATTCTTTAATAATCTGGACTCATTTAGCAGGAGCCTGCAGATCCCGGGTCTTCTTGAACAACTTATGCTGAATATGCTGCTGGAAGGTGCGAGGAGGGAAAAGCGCAGCCTCTGTCTCTGACACCGTCTCTGGCAGTGGCTTGAGGATGATCTTCTCCTTAGGAGGTTCACAGAAAACTGCCCACGAAATCCTAACCTTCTCCCTGTTAACCACACTCCTGTGGAGAATGCTCTTGTACTTTCCATTGCTGAGGATCTCAATGGTGTCACCAATGTGCATGACGATGGAGTTTGGAACGCATTTAGCCGTGATCCACTTGCCCTTGTAGAAGAGTTGGAGACCGGGCACCATGTTGTGGAGGATGAAGGTGAGTGCACTCACGTCAGTGTGAGCTTCAACGCCAAGGGAGAGCTCAGGCTGAGGGCATTTCGGGTAGTAGTTGATCTTCATTTGGAGGAGGCAAGTCATGACGATGTGAGCTCATAAATCTCAGACACATCTACAACTCTTAAACTTTTCCTTTCCTACCTTTTCAATTCAGGACATCTTAGTTAGCATGTTTTTAGTCTTCAGATAGAGAAACACGAGTTAATCAATATACTCTGCCAGTTCATGCGATGCAGGCAATAAAATATATGTCCCACAGCTGAGATCTCCTTGGGATGATAGGATGACTAAAATAACATTTTTATATCTTTAACTGTTTGGAGATTATGAATGATCAACCAAAAATTTGTTCCAGTTCAATTAAACATGTTAAAGCTTGTAACAGTGCATTGAAGGTTACAGGCAACACATACAAACAGACCAGTGAGACATTAATAGATAAGTATGCTTACTGGGAGGCACATCTGTTTGATGGTTCTATTATGGGCTTCAAGGTATTCTTCATATGTCTGCAACCAAAAAATTCAGAGTAAGGACATTTACATGAAGATTATGTTCAATTACTAGGATGGGTACCAAATTACAAATCATTGTTAATCTATTACTAGATATAATGTCTCCTTAATGGTTAATTACACCAGAATCTTTTATGCCCCAACAAGAAATCAGAAAGTAATGAATGAGGTTTTCATTTTTTTTTTTGGCATTAATGAATTGAGTTCAAAAGATGAATATGAATCTCCATCAACAAAAAAAAAAAAAAAAGGATGTATATGAATCAACTAGAAAGATACACTGCTATCTTTAAACATTTTGGAAGCTAAATGCTTCAACTGTAAACAAACAATTAAATTAGCAAGTGAAGAAACCTTCATATATATTATCTTATTCTGACACTATTTCATGAATGTAAAGAAAGTATATAACACCTAAAAGTGCCTTCAAGATACTAATAAAATAGATCAAATAAATTAAAATTAACAAAATTTAGAAAGTGGGATAGGATTCCCATACCATTTCAAGGAAATCATCCTCAGTCAGAGTACTAGCAAGAGGGCTCTCTGCAGATAAATCCAAACATGAAATAGAGTGGACATATCACGATTCACTTATAGACTAGTGAGAGTTTTTTGATGCTAGAAGTGTTCATACTTGCAACTTTGCATGCTCCAGAGGTAATAGGTAAATATTCAGTAGCACCAGTAGAATGCTGGTGATGAAATCTACTCACTTCAGCTTGATGTTGGTAGAGGAAGGAAGGATAAGGCATGGATGTTCTATGCCAGGACATAAGCTGCGAAGGCACAGAATAATCTTCCTCTCCTAGGGAACTTGGAGGCTCAAAACAAGGCCTTTTTGAAGGTAAATAGTCCCTGGTAAAACTACTAAACTGTAAATCTGTGACAACCAATAACACTTGTGAGCACAAGTTTAACATAACGCATAACCTGGAGATACCTGTTTAGTGAACCATCCACATCAATACTCCCATCAAGAAGATCACACAAAGCCTTCCCTATATCTTGAGGTAATTCCTGAAACAGAGGGCATCAATTTAAAACTGCAAAGGAGGAGAGAGGTTTTATGGTTTAATTTGAAAAAATTTCATAAAGGACACCTGGCAGTCTCTACTAATTTTGACCGGTTTGTAGTCATTCAATGGATTCTTCAGGTGCAGAGTCTTTTGGAAAGGTAAGTTATTTAAGCACAGCCATTTGACTTTAAAACTTTGTCCCCAAGGATTGCCCTTACCACTTCCTTGATTCCAAACATTATCTCGCCTCCACCCAACAGAGGAAATCATTTGGGCATAACCTTGGAAGAAACCACTCATGTTGACACTAAATATCAATATGACTATAGAAGAGTTCTGCAAGACGAGTAAATGCTTCTCAATAAAGCATCAAGAATTTGAAAATGAAAAAAGTTTGAACCTACAGATATCTTACATGAAACGCATCTTCCAGAGTTGGTTCATTCATGACTTGAGTAGCCCAAAGGCCTTTCTGAATTGATAACTGGATACTCTGGTGATTCAAACTCTTAATGATGAAATATCTTGTATTAGGCAATTTACCCCTGTTGTCTGCCTCTCGAGAATGCCTTGGTCCATGCACCCTGGCTGGATAACCATCCTCATTCACTTTGTAGCCAGAGCGCTCTGACATTGACCAGGGAAACAAAAGCTTATTTATGTTAATGGAGTTTAATGAAAATGAAAAAACAAGACTATTGATAATCAACCATAATAAGGAATTGAAATTCACTTCTCAAACTCCTAACTATAACAGATTCTGCTTTAAAAAAAGTTACAAATATAAGCACCATTTATCAAACGCATCTGCTGAATCAAGCAAAGTAGATGACAACGAGTTGCCTACTTAAGGAAAAAAATCTGGAAAAAAGTGAACTGCAGTGGAAATTTTAGAACCAAGAACATGGTAAGACACAAAATATAACCCAATATGCAACATTCAAGAATATGGTTGTGACTGAACCAGTAGAAACTGAATTATAGAGGATCAGCATCCAAACAGTGTTACTTCCAAATACAAGAAACTATGCCTTAGAAAATGTTAAGAATACAACTATTCAATTACCTGGATCATCTGAATTCCCAATGTCATACTTCCATTCTGTCACCGAAGAATCAACTACAGATGCATTTTCTCTGGTGGTATCAGATGACATGTCCTTATGGGACTCCAAACAGAACACGGGTATACGTAAAGATTTAACCTGGACTCTGAAGTAATATAAGATTATAATGCTGCTATACTCTGTAGGAGAAGAGAATACAAGAAAGATATTAATCAGAAACAAATTTAAAATTTAAAATTTGACTAAATGGATGGACCATCAGAAATTCGTATAACACACTTTTAGCTACCACTTAATACCCTAAAAAGTAACATCATTCGCATCCAACCTTACTGTAACTAAGTCTTCCAAATTATCCATTAATTCATCTCAGCTAGATTTAGTCATTTAGCAAATTTCCAAAACTCCATAAATCAAATAAAAATTCAACCTTTGTCACGAAACAGTAAGGAAATTACTTTCTGCAGCTCAAAATTAGTACATAACAAAAGGAATTGTTTTCAGTAACAGCAGAGAAATGAAGAACACCCTTGATATATGTAAAAATGATACCTAACCCATAATTGAGTTAACTTTGAAGCTCCTTAATATCCGTCATAGCTATGTAAAACGAAATCTAAGAACACATTATACCAATTACCAGACACACAGACACGAGATACAACAGTTTCAACTCTAGTTTTCCCACTGTCATTCCATTTTCTCGGCAACCAAACAAAAACTAAACATGTATTCAAGACAGAACAAGATGAATTTCAAGTTGAATGGAGAGAGAATGAATACCAATTCGAGAGAGAGGAAGTGAAGCAGAGTTCTGCAAAGAGGTGATCTTCTCTCAGTAGGGACTGTGAAGAGCCCTTATTTTTTTCCTAATAATTCTGTTTTTGGAACTTTTATCAGTAATTTTCTACTTTCAGCTAATCCTACTTACCACTTTTGTATATATACCATAAAGAATTCTACCCAAAATATATACTATAAAGAAAACATGGCACCCATAGTCTTCAACATCGAAGAGGCAAAGACATCAGATTTGTTTATTTACCTTTTTTTTTTCTTTTTAGAAAGACAGCAGATTTAATCCTCGTTATTTTTATCAGATTTACGTAAAAACGAATGTTAAATGTCTTGCAAAATGTCAAGTTAAATTCAATAATAAATAAGTGTTATTTTATATATAAGTTAAGTTTATAATTTAAGTTTTGTGGAATATTTTTAAAAATTTATTTAATGGACATGAGTAGTGTGTTATTTAAATTATTTCAAGAGGGATTAAT